GTTAATATGCTTGACTATCTTATGAATATTTGTTTCCTTTGCCTACTATTGTAAAACAGACACTTGAATGGGATAGAAATATATATTGGGAAATACGATTATAGAAAGCTTATAAGTCCATCTTCAGCCTATAAATGATTGGAATACCTAAAAGGGGTTCTAGAACTTGCCCATTGAAATACACTTCTTGCAGAGCCTTTGTAGTGTATAGGTCCTTAGGTGGAATTCTGAGCCCCATCCAGAACCTTCTAACGTGGGACATTCTCACTAGAAAGGATAAGCAGACCAGCCTGGAACAGAAAGATCAGCAGGAAAAAATCCAAAAAAAAAAAAAAATGGCAATCTGATTAGCTACTTCAAGAACAAGGCAAGCAATCAAGTCCCTTCAGGACAAACCACCCTCCAAGACTGAAACTTAAAGGGAACACATGAGCAGGCATGTAAGCTTGCTTGAGACCACATTGGTCTACTGGTGACTGAAAGAGGGGGAAAGGCAGAAATGAAGATATGGGCTGAGTACAACCATGTTCTATAGACTCCTGTTGACCTGGAGATTAGAGAAAGAAGAGGAAGGGCTGGTTGGTCGGAAGTGTGGTGTGATGTGGGGACACCTGAGCCCCAGAAAAAAAAAAAAACAAACAAACAAACAGAGGGAATGGAAGCAAATACTGTTGAATGATGATGCATGGAAGAGACTGTAATCATAGCAATGAAACGATGAGTGTAAAACCGATGTTCAACAATGTAAACTAACACTCAATTCACAATTTAAAAAAAAAAAAGCTGCTAGAAAGAAAATAGATTATTACCAAATAAAACAATAAGTATCCCAAGAGCAGACTTCCCATTAGCCTCGAAAGGTGTCAGAAGATAATAACGTATCTTCAAAATGCTGAGGAAGCAAATATCAACCAGGAATTCTGCAACCAGAAACAGGACTTGGAATGCAAGACAATGACTGGCTGAAGCAGTCTCCAGTTAACCACTGTGCCCACAAGACTTCTTCATTCAACTTCTATGCCTCTCTGGTCTTTTAAGCAATTGGCTGTGTTGTCCCTGAAAGTCAATGAAGAAGTTTGAACCAAGAGCACAGGCACAGCCCATGAGTCCTTGATTGCCTAGCCATTGACAACATCTTAATGAAGAAATAGAGATAATGTCTTTAGAATTTAAGTCAATCACTAGTAACCACTGCTATTCTAAGATGCTAAATCATTCTTAAAACCAGTTTCTCTATGAAGATCAATATTGATTACACATGTTAAATAAAAACTTTTTTTAAAAAAAGTAAATATAGATAAATTTCACTATAATAAAATTAAACATATGTCATCCTTTAAAATAACAGGAAATACAAACACAAATCGCAGAGTGAAAGAAATACCTACAATACACATAACAAAGATAATAAAGTGTTCATAAAGATCATCTACAAAGAACCTCCACAAATCAATAAAAAAGAAAGACTGTGTAGAAAAATGATTGAGAAATTTGAAGAGGAAGTTCACAAAATAAGTGTTCAACTTCAGAGAAATACAATTAAAACTCTAATGCACAAAAATACACACTGTGTGCCTCCCCCTCCCCCCCAAAAAAGTAACCGAATTTTAAGTTTAATAATACTATGGAATAGGAAGACTGTAGAACTCTCCCACATGGATCTTGGAAGTTTAAATAGGTGCCACCACTGTTTAAAACAATTTAGGATGGTCCTGGTGTAGTGCTGTAGGACAAGTACTGAACTTCTAACCACAAGGTTGGTGGTTCAAACCCATCATCTGCTCCTTGGAAACCCTATACAGTGTCACTATGAGTTGGAACAAACTCAATGGGACGTAATAAAACTGAAGCTATGCACATACCATAACCTGCCCTTCTACTTTAGAAAATGCATGCTTTGAACGCTGGATTTATGAGAATGTCCATAGGGATGTTACTTCTTACTTCCCTAAACTGGAAACAAACTTCAATGGAGAGTAGAATGAGTAAATAAATTACAGTATCTTTATACAGAGGAATATTATATGGAAATGAAATAAGTAACCTATAACTACACTCAGCATTGTTGAATCAATAATACTGAACATAAATAAAACACATAACAATACATACCATGTTGTTCCAATTACATAAAGTTAAGATAACATGCTCATTAACAAATTCTGATATGCAGATGACAAAAACTTGATTGCATGCTGAAAAGGGAAGAGGACTTGAAGTACTTAACTGATTAAGATCACAGAATACAGCTTTCAAAATGAATTATAACTTAATGTAAAAACAAAAATCCTAGAACTGAACCAATAGATAACATTATGATCAATGGAGAAAAGACTGAAGTTTTACTTGCATTTCATTTTACTTGGATCCACAATCAATGCTCATGAAAGCAGCAGCCAAGAAATCAAACAACACATTGCACAGGGTAAATATGCTGCAAAAGAATTCTTTACAAGATCTATCCTGAAGTATAATGCTGTCTGTGACAGAATAATATCCATACGCCTACAAGGAAAACCAGTTAATACCACTATTATTCATATTTACACACCAACCACAAAAGCCAGAGAAGATGAAACTGAGTAATTCTACCCACTTCTTCAGTCTGAAATTGATCAAACTTGCAATCAAAGTGTATTGATAATTACTGATGACTGTGATCTGAAGGCTGAAAACAAAGAGGAAGGATCAGTAGATCAGAAGGATCATAGAAATGATGCTGGAGATTGCATGCTAGAATTTTACAAAACCAGTGACTTATTAATTGCAAATTCCTTTTTTAAAAACATGAAAGGTGGTTACACACATGGACCTCACCAGATGGAACAAACTTCAAAATTCAAATTGACTTCATCTGTGGGAAGAAACAGTGGAAAAGTTCAACATCATCAGCCAAAACAAGGCCAAGGGCTGATGTGTAACAGACCGTCAATTGCTCATATTCAAGTTCATGTTGAAGCTGAAGAAAATTAAAACAAGTCCATGAGTGTATGAAAAAAAAAAAAAAAAAACTGCAGAAGAATAACTGCATTTGAATTTTATGAGCTCTAAAAACAGACCATGACTTTCCCTAACTCTATCCTTGCTCCCCTAGTCATCCTTTAATACTCAGCTAAACTATCACTTCCTCCAGGTCTGAGCAAGAATCTCTCTCTTGTGTCCATCACCCCTCCAATAGCCCAACCACACTACCTTGGAAGTCTCCCTGTCTTGTGTCCATCACCCTTCCAATGGTCCAACCACTCTATCTTGGAATTATCTGCTTACTAGACTGGGAACTCCCCTAAAGGTAGCCATTAAAATGTTTCAACTGTATTTTCCACTTGATAATTCACAATAATAAATGGACAGAGGCATTGGTATTTCAGTGGTAGGATTCTCGTTTTCACTTGGGAGACCTGGGTTTGATTCCCCGCCAGTGCACCTCATGTGCAACCACTACCCATCTTTCAGTGAAGGATTGTGTGTTGCTATGATGCTGAACAGTCTTCAGAAGAACTTCCAGACTAAGATGGGCTAGGAAAAAAGGTCTGGAAATCCTCTTCTGAAAATCAGCTCATGAAAACTCTATGCATGCATAACTGCCTGATTTACAACCAATCCTGGGTATGGAATAGGACCAGGCAGCATTTCATTCCCTTGTGCATGGGGTTGCTATGAGTTGAGGCCAATTTGACAGCAGCTAACAATAATACAATATTAAAGAAGAAAACCACAGAATAAAATTTAAGACTAGAAACTTGAAAAACAGACTAATAAAATCATGAGTTAGATGAAAAAGTAAACTCAATCACCCTAAAAATCACGTTACTAGAAAGCTAATTAGCTAGACAGCTAGCCAATAAAATTATATCCTAAATAATTACTAAACTATCAAATACTCAGCAAAAGCAAAGATTTTTAAAAACTAAATACTTACTATGTTAATCTATTTCTAGAGTCTTGTCTTTAGTACCTTTTCTTCCCTAATTCTAATCAGTTCCAGATTTCTTCAAGTCCTTTACTTTCAATTAAAATTTTACATTCTTATTTTTAGTTCTAAATTTCACCTTCTCCAGTCTCTTTCACTTCTACTTTGCCTTCTATTCTTTCAATTTAACAGAAAAATATAGATATTGTATTTGTTATCTCTGGTACCAATTTTATCTAAAACAAAGGAATCATAAGAAGCAGTAAATGTAATGATAATGCGTTCATCTAGTTGAGCGATTTCATAATACTAAGCAGTTAATTTGAACCACATTCATACTAAGTGGATCCTGACAGGCATCACAAGTCCTTGGGGTTGTTTGACAGGATAGTGGGGGGAGCGGGGGGTAGTGTTTGCAGCCACAATCCAGCATTACAGCATCCCCTCTTTGCTCCTGCTTTTCATGAGGATGTAGAAACAGACAAGGGGACAACCAAGCTGCTCTCTGGACCAGCGTGAGCACTAGTGGCCAAGTAGCAGCCAGGTGCTAGCCTGAGTATTATGACCCAGATGCCACCTATAGGATGCAAAATAAAGATTGCTGCTCCTAGAATACTTTGGAATTTTAGTTTTATTACAGGACAGGTTCTGAGAGAGGCAGTGAAGTATCTGAAGATGTATTCATAAATAAGCTATTAAACTACAAAGGAGTTTAAAAAATTTTGTGGGAAAATGGAATTAAAAGATAATGACATTTTTCCACAACCTTTTTGAAGTCCCCGCATGAACAAGGGAGAAGCCATTTTCTAAAGGCTATCAAATTATGGAAAGAAATAAGAGTACATTCTTTTAAATACCTGAGGTAACTTTTTCAGAAACACTCAGTATTAGGTCTTGTAGGCATGGGGAAACTCAACTTATGGGCCAAACAAACAAGAACTCTGAATAACTTCACAGCCCCCACTATAGCACAGCAGTGAAAGATGTGATTGAAGAAGTTTCTGAAACATCGTAGAATGGAACCGGAAAAGCAACACCTTTAAATAATCAAGTTAATTCAAAGCAGAGCAGGGCAAATCCACTCTCTTACCCGTATCCAGGAGTTAAATTTTGATTGACCAGAATTCTGAGGTTCTTTGTTAATCAGACAACATAAGCACCATAGAAGAATTTTTTGGCTTTCATCTAAAAAAAAGAAAAACTAATGAGTACATAGAGAGTATAAAAAATTTTTTTACACATTAGAATAATCTCAACCTTTTAAGTGCACAGAGGAAACATCCAGGACCGTGTATGAAAGTTAACTTTGTAGGAGTTTCCCTTTTTGTGGGTTCAGGATCACTTCTGCTTCACTCTTCTGTGGTTAACTCCTTTCTGATACAGCAGCAATTTTGAAAGCCAAAAGAGAATCATGGAAACAACTGTTCTTTCCAGATTAATTATTTTTATTTTATACTTCAGATCCTTAACAATTTCAGCCTTCTTATTGGCAACCTAGCTGCTAACAGCCAGGAGTCAATGTTGAATCTTTTCATTTTCTAATGTGTCACCTATTTGTCAAAAACAAACAAAAAGAACAAAAAGAACTGTTTAAAAATATATTCTACTTAGTATCAAATGGTTTGGATAAAACAGAAGTTTCTCAGATGCTCCTAATTTTTTAACATTTAAAACTTTGCTGAACATGAGATGAAAATGCTGAACTTTTGAAATCATATATTTGGAGGACACACCTACTCGGTGAGCCATACTCTCTTAATTTTTTTTTTTTTCCTCTTGTGGCGACTGACTCCATTCCAGCTAAACATTTTATAACAAGAGTGAGAAGTAAAAAAGAGACCTGAACTAGAGCAAAGCACCTCAGGAATGAGCAACAAGGCTGCGGGTGAGGCTGAGAAAACCCCCCTGGAACTAACTGCCTGCAGACTCACTGGAGGCCCTCTATCTTATCTCTAAGAAGCTGATCAACACAGTATTTCTGAGAGTCAGAAAGACATTAGAAAATACACACTCCAGTAAGCTGCCTCTGTATTTTCATTCACAAATCAAAGGGTGCTGAGTCATTTAAGCCAATTTCTCCTATAAACATCCATTAGTTTGTACTTCCCCAATAATTAACATCTTTGAACAGTCTTTGAGTGGAACAAAAGGCTAAACCCTAGACTACTTGCTAAAGAATCTCAGGGTCAAGTTCAAGCAGAAGTATCTCAGAAGAAAGGCCTGGTGATCTACTTCCGAAAATCATTGAAAGCACAGTTCTAACGGGATGCACAACAGGTGGACATGAGTAGCAACTGACTCCACAACTACTGGTGTATACACTGAACACACAGACAGTATCGGGGTTGTCCTGAGGGAAATTATTTTTCCCCCCAGGTTTTTATGAGCTCAAATACTCACACATTACTGGCTTGACTAAAATCATGTTATTTCCAGAGTCATAAAGTTTAACCTCTGAAGATTCTGGGGTTTGTCAGATTTAGTCAATGCAATGGATGAGACTGCTGTACTTTCTATGTGAACATTCTAAGCATTTTCATATAGCAAGTGTGTCAGATGCATCCAATGGTATGCTTATGCCAGCAACTGCCAGTGTTCATGAGAGTGCAAACTGATGGGGAGTGGATCTAAAAATCAGGAACTTATCACCAAAAAAAGAGATAAATAGGGAGTACTGGGCAAGGCAGGTTCAGGGCGGAGTTCCAGGACTCTGGACCACATATCTAGGAATATGTGGAGGGTTTGAAGGCTTGATACTGGTGGAACTTGTAGTGGATGTGGGAAATCATGTACTTCTGAATCTTCTGGCCTCGGTGGCCTGGACTAGACAACTTGGGCGACACCAAATGGTAAGATTAAGTGGGGGAGCACACCCACCAAGGAATAATGCCATGGGAACGTCAGAGCAAAGGTGGACAATATACTTTGTTGGTTTTGCTTAGTTCTGATTTTCATTTTTTTTTTCTGGCATATGTTCATTGGCCACCCACTGTTTGCACACCTCCATTCTGGTGACTAGAGGGGCTGCCTGAGCGAGAGGACAACCCCCACACCCACCACTGATGGGTTCTTCTGCCACGCATGCACACAGATACTCTCAGCCCAAGAGCCGGCCTTGAACTGTTTTTTTTGTGTGTGTGTTTTTTTTTTAAAAAGGGAACAGGCCAGAGCAAGGGGTGTGGAGAGGGCAAGAGAGTTTAAAAACAAACCAGGCCAAAAATTAAATTATATCCTAAGGTATAGCATAACAACCAAAGGTGGCATTTTAAGATATAGCAGATGGACAAAAAGGCAAGAAGTTGAAAGATGACGTTGAAGTCATACTCATATTGGGCTACAGATTTTTTATTTTTCTTACTTCTTCTCTCCCTCCTCTCCCCTTTCTGTGATTCTAGACTACAGCATCCTAACCAGTTTTGTTTGTTTTTTTGTTGTTGTTGTTTTGGTGTTCCCCCCACCCCCGGTTATTCTGCTGTTGCTATTTTGCACTCCCCCTTTTACCACTGGAAGACTCTTTCTCGCCCTATAATACCCAAGAAGAGTCAGCAACTGCTGCCATACAGTCAAGCTACAATCAAACTCTACAAAACACGAAATCCAGACAAGGACCAATACCAACTGCCATGAACCAGGGAGGCAGACAACACCTGTGAAAGTTACTCTGAGTTAAGGAATAAGAAGAGTGAAAAGGGAAGCTCACTTCCTGATCACATCTACCTGGAGGTAATCACAAAGTATAAAAAATACCAAAACACACACTCAATTAAATATTAAGGCAACAGATAAACACTAAACATGTCCAAGAAGCAAAAGTAGATGACCATATCAGCACATGTCCAGAAACAAGATAAAATGCCTGAGACAAATGACCTAGAAGTAAACATGGACTACATTCCAGAAGGAGGACAGGCATTGGAAATGCCTGAGAAGGAATTCAGAGAAATGATTATAAAATGTTTCAAAACACTTTAAAATGGAGTTGAAAAAAATAAGGAAGAAGTAAGGAAAACGCTACAGGAAATCAAATAAGATAGATACAGCATTGGAAACAATTCAAAACCTACAGAAAGCGATCCAAACGACCAAATAATACAATATCAGAAATAGACAATACACTGAAATGGCTAAGGAGTAGAATGAAGAGATGGAAGGCAGAACTAATGATCTGGAAGACAAATCACTCAATACCACTAAGATAGAATAGCGAACAGAAAAAAGGGTAAAAAAAATTGAAAGAAGGTCTAAGATTCATGCTAGACACATGAAGAAGAATAACATAAGAATTATCAGCATTCCAGAAAGGGAAAAATCACACAAGTCCAGAGAGGAAATGGTTGGAAAAGTGCTGGAAGAAAATTTCCTAACATCCTGAAAAGTGAAAAGATAAATATTCAAGAAGCTCAATGAACCCCAGGAAGAGCAGACTCCAAAAGAAAATCACTAAGACATATCATAATCAAGCTCTCCAAAATCAAAGATAAGGAGAAACTCCTGAAAGCAGCTAGGGAAAACAGAAGTGTTACATACAAAGGCAAACAAGTCAAATTGAGCTCAGATCCTCTCAGCAGAAATCACGCAAGCAAGAAGGCAATGGGGAGACATATATAAAACCTTGAAAGAAAAAACAACTGTCAACCAGGAATCCTTTATCCAGCAAACCTATCAATCAAACATGACAGTGTAATCAAAACATTCCAGGATAAACAGAAGCTACGGATTTTGCCAAAGCCAACCCTGAGCTACAAAACATCCTAAAGGGAGTTCTGTGGACTGAGAACCAACAAGAACAGACAACAACCAGAGAATGACATACGTGGCAGCACCTCCCAGAGCGAAATCAGCAGAAGGAAAAGTCAAGAACAGAGCAAAACTTTAAGAACAAATTCAGACTCTGGGAGGTCAGTGTATGATCAAAACAATTACAATGTAAAAGAAGGTAAACACGTACGAACAGAGATCCAAATGGTGAGAAGGTCAGGTAGTTGTCTATTACAGGACAAAATAGACAACACTAAATGGAGGCAAAAGTTAATGGACTATAAGGTAACCTCAAAGGAAATTAACACTTCACAAAATACCAAGAAAATGAAAATCCAAGAAGACTTGGAAACATTAAAACTATGAGGGAACTAACAAAAAAGAACACAAACAGCATGAACCCAGCAAAGACAGACACACAGAACAAAGAAAGCAGCAACACCACAAAAAACAAACATAATGGCAGCTATTAATCCATACCTATCAATAATTACACTGAATGTAAACGGATTAAATGCACCAGTTAAGAGACAGAGGGTAGCAGAACGGATAAGAAAACAAGATCCGGCAATATGCTGTCTGCAAGAGGCACATCTCACACACAGACACAAAAACAGATTAAAAGTCAAAGGATGGGAAAAAATGTACCAAGATAATTGCAATGAAAAATAAACAGGAGTGGCAGAACTAATCTCTGATAAAAGAAACTTTAAGCCAATAACTAGCATAATAGATAAAGATGGACATTATCTCATGATTAAAGGGACAATTGAACAAGAGGACATAACCATAATAAATACCTATGCTCCCAATGAAAGAGCCCCAAAATATATAAAGCAAACTCAAATAGTTTTGAAGAAAGAAATAGACGAATCTACAATAATAGTGGGTGATTTTAATACATCACTTTAAAAATGGATAGAACAACCAGAAAGGAACTTGACAAAGACACAGAAGAACTAAACAATACAATCAGCTAACTGGACCTCATAGATGTGTACAGAGCATTCAACCAAACAACAGCAAAATATACATTCTATTCCAGAGCACATGGAACATTCTCCAGAATAGACCATGTCTTACGCCACAAAAGAAACCGCCATAAATTTACAAACATCAAAATACTACAAAGCATCTCCTCAGACCACAATGCTATCAAATTAGGAATCGACGATAGGAAGACCAAGGAAATCAAGTCAAATACATGGAAACTGAGTAACACCCTGCTGAAAAGCAACTGAGTAGTATAAGAAATTAAATGTGAACTCACAAAGCTTCTAGAAACAAATGAAAATGAAAACACAACAT